CTTGCCAGGCAGGCGCTTTTGCCGCTGAGCTAAATCCCCAGCCCCTCAAGTAGTAATTTGAAACAACTCAGAATAATCTAAAATGTGTTTCCATTAAGTGGAAAATACTGTGGATCCTTCTAACCAAAGAAATACATTATAAGGAGAAAAAACAACAAAGTTATGATTATTCTATGAATAAGGCAAACTGGAAAGATTTTCCATTGTCAATGTTATTTCACACCAATGCTGTTTGATACTAACTATATCTCAAATTTCTTATATAGCAGAATTTTCTGCGTATTTCTATTAAACACTCTGAAAACCATACCATTGAAAAGATCTCCCAGTTCTCCTCAAAATTATCTATTTTAACAAAGACTGGTAGTTATCCCTTCCACACTACTGTCAACACCCCTTTGATGTTGTTATATTGATATGAAGAGCCACAATAAATATCTCAAATCAATAGCAAGGTCTACCCAGTTCATGGAAGAATAGCTAAACATAATTTTTAACAAGAAAAAAAATCCCTACTTAGCTATCTTAATTAGAGGAAGTTTATTAAAAGAGCATATCTTCATTCTCAAGAAACTAAGAGAGAAAGCAGACTTAGGAGGGACTGAAACATGTATAACAAGAAAATTTAAATAAGGTTACTCCTTTGGTATCTTCATTATTTCAATAGATAGATAGGTTTTGTGTACTTCTCTCCAAGTATTGAGCCAAATGTGAAATTATTTTCTTGTAAAGTTCGTCCCAGAGAGACTATGTTATATCAGGTCTCTGAAGCCATTAAAAATCCTGAGGATCAGATTGGCCCAGTTTGGATTAGAACTGTCTATAACCAGTAGGCTGTGGTAGCAAAAGCATGTAACCCCAGCAGCCTGAGAGCCTGAGGCAGGAGGATCACAAATTTAATTTCTGCCTAGGTAGTTTAGCAAGTTAAGACCCTGTGTCAAAAAAAGGCTGGGGATGTAATTCAGTGTGTACATCATGGGTTCAATCTCTAGTACCAAAAAAGAGAAAGAGAGACAGAAGAAGAGGAAGAAAAAAGAGGAGGAGGAGAAGGAGAAGGAGAAGGAGAAGCAAAAGGAAAGACAAGAGGAAAGAGAAGGAGAAAAGAAATGTCTACCTCTTGTGCTGTTGCCTGAAATCATAGGAGGAGATGGGTCATATAAAATAAACATAGCTGTAACAGTACAACTCAGCTGAAAAGAGAAGTTTTCAGAAAAAGATGTGGTGGATTACATATCACAAAAGGATTTTTATTTACAAGTCTTGAAGTAAAATCTAATCTTATAATAATGTTCATATATTCTATATATATGGAAGGTTGTTTTAGAGACCATAAAAGACTTTAGATTTGGAAGAAAATAGTGACCTTTCCCATTTAATACTGTAAAACAAAACCATGTATATTGGTAGATATTCCTCCATTTAAATATTCTAAACAGGAGAGCATAATATCAAACAGAAGACATAATAATTCGTTACAATTATATCATGCTTGCCTTCAAAACATCAGAAATTTTTAGAAAGGTTATGAATAACAGACAATGGGACTGGGGTCATCGACATATTGAGCACGTACTTGTGACTTTTCAGTAATGAAGTTAGAGGTTCACTGTCTTCATAAGTTTTTTTTTTTTTTTTTTTTGTAAAGACATATCAGAGGGGTACATGAGAGGAAAATTTCCGATTGGTTGAACTACGATAACTCATGCAAAACCCAGAAATTTCCTTATGAGCCAAAAGGGGGAGGGAATCTCGGAATGCAGAACTAAAAAGTTTAAAAATAGCTAACTTTTATCAAGAATGATCTGGAAAAACCTACAGTTCTTAATTGTACCCCAAACCATTTACAAATAAAGAATTTTCCTCCAAATCATTGCCAGCCTCCTGGTGATTTCTGGTAACAGACTTTAGAAACTTGAAATCGCTGGTCTGAGTACCCCCAGAGAGACACACCTCATACTGGTAGCTGTGGGCCAGGGTCCCGGCGCCGCTGACGTCCAGCAGGCGGGCCGGGAAGGGGCCCTCGGGCGCCGG